GTGTTCAGTCAAAGGAGCTCTTTTTAGCGCCCTCAGAACCTTGGAACGAAACTCCCAGGCCCGAGAACGAAGTGCGTCCACGGAGAGGTGATCAGCATGAGGCTTCCGATCGGCCGCCCAGCGGTGCGAAGAGGCGATATCACCCACGATCGGCATGCCGGCCATGATCTGATCCACCAAGTCCACATCGGAACACGCCATAGAGCCACGTGGAAGAAAGCGCCGAGCGCCACCGGCGGTCCGGGATCTGCTTGAGCAAGCTTTCGGACTCAGGCACGAGATCTCGTGCGCGAGCGTCCCAGTGCTGTAGGAGAGACTCACGACGATCGCACATTGCCGCAGGATGATCTACTATCTCTTGCAGAACGGCTTGAAGATCAGAATCGATCGTGGCATTCTTGGTGAAGGGATGGATCGTATCGAGCGCAAACTCGATCGCTTCGCCTGGATGCATCTCAGTCGTGATCAAAGGAAGGACGACCGACTTCTTCATCTGGTAGCCGGCAGCGATCGCCTTTTGACCAGAAGATCGCTGACGATGATCACGACCTCGAACAGGAGCTCCATGCGGTCGCTTGCGATCTGCAGCTTCGGTGCGCAGAGCAAAAGTCGGGACTTGCCATGGGGCGTCCGCATGGTCGCCCGTCTGCACCGGAGCCGGATTGAATCCGAGCTGCAGAAGCTGTTCGAACTCATCTGCAGGGATCCGATCGACATCCTGAACGGAATAGACCGCCAGGACCACCCGCGTGCCTTCCCAGGGGAGCATCATGTGAAGAGCTTCCTTGGCGTTGAACACGATGGTATCCTGTTCAAATTCCGTGTTAGTGCCCTGGATGGTGCGGCCGTCTATGTCTTGGGGATCCTGCCCGAGCGGATCTTCGATCCAGAGCCCGCCCCCGTGGAAGTCACTGAGCTTAATGACTACGTTCGGAGTCGCCTCATTGCCCGAATCGCGATGGGGCTTCGCCTCTTGATCGTAGAGGATGGCGAACGATGTGAACACGTTCCCCGGCACCTTCTGCTGGATGTACCGGGTGACCGCCTGGATTGACCACGGCCACGAACGGTAGGAGGATCGCAAGCGAGTGATGCCTCCGTGCCGATAGGCTCCTGCGAAGAAAGCGCTGCCCCGCTCGCCGGCCGCTTTGTGCTGCCCTTGATTCGGAAGATAGAAAGCGAGCTGCAGGATTTCTTCGCGTAAGAGCGGAGCTTTCTTGGCCACGAGCTCTTGGGCGATCGCCTCTGCGTCCACGTCGCCCATCACGCCCGAGAGCGCGAGGTAAGGCCGAAAGTCAGAACCCGAAGGGACGGATCAGTGGTTGCC